AAGACAGCCTTCGTCCACTCTAATTGTCGCCTCTGCTCACACGTTGGCTAATGAGCTCCTGCTGGGTGGTGAGAGCCCATGTAGTGCTTATGCTGCTGCAGTCAACCCAGCTGCAGCAGCAAGTCGGAGGCCCAAGCAGGAGGGAAGGCGGGGTGGATGAGTGGCGCGTGTGGTGGCAGGGCGAATGGAGAGTGCCATAGTGCCCACCATCCACTTGCCCTACGGCACGTGTGGTAGTAGGGCGCCCATGTCCTCTCCTCCATGGAGGGGAACAGGACAGGGGGAGAGAGGCGGGCAGAAAGGAAAGTGGGGAGGCGAGGCGGCGATGAGGTGGCGAGGTAATGGCGGAGGTGACATGGCCAGGATGGGAAGCAGCGCGGAGGCGAGAGGGTGGGGAGGATGCGACGAGGGTGGCGCGGCGGATTGCACCGATGAGGCGACGTGGCGCGTAGGCTGCGGCGTTCGCGATACGGCGAGGTGGCAGCGAGGCTGCTACGTGACGAATGGGTTGCTCACATGGCGGCGTGACGAGCAGGCGTTGACGCGGTGAGGATGCTCGCAATGTAGCGAACAGACCACGACTTCGCCGCGACGACGCAGCGACGTTGCAAGGAGACATGAGAGGCCACGCTACGGGAGGCTGCGTGGAGGTGCGACGGTGGCGGATTGGAAAGTAGCGACCTAGGAGGTACGACGAGGGCGGATTGGGCGGGCCTGGAATAAGCGTGCCTAAAGTCATGCTCTCTCCATGGCCTGAAGCGGCTACTCTAACACATCAGCTTGCGCGCCTTGTCGACACTGCAGCTTCGAACCTGCTGTGCTCTGTTTGCCACAGTCGCCTGTTTTATTCAGCGCGGATCGTATTGGTTTAGGCTTGCATGCGCGTGATGAACGATTAGTAGTAAGTAGGTCCTAGTGAAGGGCGTCGATGTGCAAATACAGAGAGGTTTAGAACTTGGTGTGTCAGGTTACGCGCTGCTGTTCCTTCCCCTCCGCCCTTTCTTCCCCCTCTTTCAACGATCTCCGCCGTTCCTTCCCCCAACCCAACCCTGTCACGAAATGTGGTTGGGCTCGCCATCCTTGCTCGACTTCATCGCACTGGTGATTGAGGGAAACATTCACTTCGCAATCCAATGAACACACGCCAAAGGGTTAGCACTACAAATGCCCCCAAAAAACCCTCGAAGTATGTAGACCGCAGCTTTAAGGGTTGATGCATCTCTAACGCATGCCTCACCTATATGGGTTTTATTTTTGCCTGCGGGCAGCGCAGTATATGTGATCCAATATGCTAAACTAAATTTCTCTTGAAATTTGTGGGAGCAATAAAACAATTCGCGGTTTACGCAATCATACGCTCGTCACGTGACGAAATTAAAACAAACCGCGCTTCCGCGCGTTTGAGCAAAATTCTTGCGCCAAAACCCAAGGTCGATCCGAAACTGATGCTGGCGCCAAATGAAAACAGTGCGGCGCCACAGGTGTGCACGCCGTACTGTACCAGTGTAGTTGAAGATGGCGACGAGCAGAATCAGAGGTCGCATTGACTGATGGAAGGACCAAATTGTAATATCTAAACCCTACCTACACGACACCGTCGTATGTACTGTGCGGACCTACACCACGACAAAAACAATATCATGCGGGACGTTAGAGATCCAAAACCAAACCAACTTCGACAAAGTTACGTACCTGTGGTGACACACTCAACACCAACCGATAAACATTATACCATACCGCGTAACCTATTGTAGGGTCGATTGGAGTTTTGGAATTCGAAATAGTGCTAACGTGGTGCACGAGTGGTCGTCCGGATTGACACAAATCCAAAAACCTCGAGTCGAGTGATTTTTCCGGAGAGACCCGATCAACCGACACGAATCACCCAGTTGGCGGCTTCGATAGAATCTTACTAGTAGGGCGTGTCCCACTTGTTCGTTTTGACAAAAACAAGTTTTTTACGTAATCTCGAGTCAGCAGAAGAGTGTACACTCTGACGAAAAAAACACGCAGCGCGTCAGCTCTAGCGCAAAACGAAATTTCCCACGCGGACTCACAGCCCCGCCCACACAAGCCCATCTTCCGAACCAGAATTTACCGGGGCCGCGAGCGGTAACCCGCCCGGTGGGCGAATTGTCCTTTTTTCGCTAAACTGTGGGTTGGGCGATTTTCAGCATGGGGTAACGGACTGCAGGACCAGGTACGCTATTGTCGCACGTACCATGGCTGCGGTTTTTGCACGTGGAAAAAACGCATCTTTAGATGTCTACACTTCACCACAGTGGCGCGTCATCGTGGAGTTGCATCTACAGTATCACTATTTGTCTGGTTACAATGTGAAAAAAGGGTTACCCTGCTCAGCATGAACTGTAAACGAACAAGTTGGACACGCCCTTATGCCAAAGGATGGGATACAAGAGTGTCGAGCAAGTTTGTGCACCCCTTAAGGATAGCCCCTACATAGCCTAGTTAAACATAAACATAAAATGTTTTGACAGGCTTTCCCTGATTGATTACCGTGATATCTGGGGGTGAACTTATCCACATTGAGAGTGGGCTACAGCAGTCCACGAGGACGAACGCCAAGACTTCAAGTCGTTTCTCCTGCCCGAGAGCCGCCTCCGAGGCCAGAATGGGCAGCGGTTGTTAAAACTCGGCAGGTCAGGAGAGCGTGGATCATAGTTTTCGTGCATGAAACGAGTAAGGCCTTCGTCGACGGTTACCATTTTGCAACTCGAGTTATTGTTGGCACAATAGTAGTTCGAACCGCGATCGCGGGACGAACCAGAGGCTGACTACGAAATTCCACGAACACATCGCAGAAGATTTCGCCGCACGGTTGACTTGGCGGACAACTGCGAAACCACAAAACGTGCAACCCTGTCACACTCGCGAGAATGACAGTGATATGATGGGGTTTCGGGTGTGACTGTGCTCTAACAGGGTGACTGCTCTGCATCCTCCTGATACATGGATCGTAATTCCTAAAATTCGTTTAGACCCTCACGATCCCTGAACGGAGAGGAGGAATGTCTCTGTACACCACATGGACGGAGCGCGTGCAGCGGCGGAACGAGGAGCCCGCGAAATAAGAAGCGCGAAATTGAGAGCAGCGGCGACTCGAAATGCGAGCAACGGCGGAATGGGGAGCGCGAGCAGCGGCGGAACGGGGATCGGAGGGGCAGTGGTGCAAAGGCATGGGGGGAAGGGGACAGGGCTAGTGGGAGTAGTGCAGTACTACTGAAATAGTATTTAGTGCTCACCATCTGATCCAATATTCAGTTCTCTGAGCTATTTCATTCTTCCTAATATTCAGTACTCGGAGTACTACTACCGCCATGGCGCTCCGTCTCGTCTCACAGCCCTTTCACGTCGTCGTGCTGCTTCTCCTCGCAGCCATTGCGTCACTCACGCTCTCGGCACGCCGTGCAGAGGCCTCAATTTCCGCTGGCGGGTATACGTTGTTTTCCACTGGAACCGTTTATGATTCCAGTGGAGCCGTTGTGAACCCCACCAAAAACGCGGATGGGTCTCAAACCGTAGGAGGCTACACTTTCTACTCTAATGGCACTGCCACTGGTCCTGACGGCGTACAAATTTATGGTCCGCGCTCCGACGGTGGAATCATTCATCGCGGAAAAGGTATTGCGGAAATGTGTCGAAAAAACTGCAGAAAAGTTACTTTCTGGATACCCGGCCCCGATGTTTTCCAGTGAAGGTCAAAACCATCGGAATTCCCGCAAGGGTGCACGTTGCGTAAAAGTGACCCCTTCGCCACATTTCGGACACATTTCAGGAACCTCCCAGCAACCGCGATCTTGCCAGAAAGTTGCGATAAAGTTGCCCGTCACACGTGTCACATGACACCGTACACCAAAGTGCTTGTGCATCATACCGTACGTACCCCCTTGCCACGCGGCCTTCATCGAGGCGGCTTCACGCAACGATCCCCGCCGTACACATGTGAGCACCCCGTTGGTCTAACGAGTGAATACACCCACTCTCGTCGCCCACTTACCAAACTGCGCGTGCATTTCGCCACCAATCTGCATGCAGAGGACCCACCTCCCCACCCACAACCGCGCCGCCACCTCCCCACCCAACGACCTCTCGTTATCCCACACCTGTGCGTACTGCTCGCACACCCATCCAACGCTCTCGCGACATCTGTCTACGTCCGCTTTGCGCACACCACTCCACGCGGCGCAAATCCACACCGCGAACACCCCGCATCTCGACCGTACACCTGTGGGACCGTGAGTGGCCCCGCACCATGTAACTACACACTTCGTCAGCCACTAAAACGTAGCGCGGGCCCGCCTCGCCCGTCCTACGGCAAACCTTCGCCAAATCTGACGTCCCAACGCATGCTCGCCACCTCAGCCGGTGTTACCAGGGCGTGCACCAACACCTGACGATAAAGTGAACCAAGCTTCCGCCCGCTGCATACGCGGGACGTGTCTCCACTGTCCGCCCACCATTTACACCTGGTGGATTTAGACACGTGGTCCCAAGCTTTACTACTTCCCCCTATTGGTGCGACTGGCCACGCCATTGACGCGTGAGATGCGGCCAACCACTGCAAACATATCCCACGTCAGATGTGCGGAAAACGTCCACCACATCCCTCAACAGCACCTATTCAATGTGCGTGCCACGAATGGTCTACGTTCGACGCGGCCCGAAGCGCGCCTTCAGTAATGTGCGCAGCTCGTGAAACCGGAACCACGTATCCGTACCTATTAGACACCGCGATGCTGTTATTAAGATACCAAATACGGCGTAACCATACAACGTGGTGTGTTTACATTCCCTAAGTGTTCGCGTGAGTTTGCACCGTATTTCAAAAACGCACAACCCATCCGTAATAAACCTACAGCAAAGCGACACAAAAGAAACACACACATAGCTAGGACCCACAACAAACACAAATATCCCGCCTACAGCAACAAATGCACGACAAACCCCAGCTGGGAAAACATGCCTTCAACCCCCACCATTTACGGGCCTCCAAGCGACCCAGAGATCTCGTCCGCCTGAACCTCTGCCCCATCACGGGTAGCGGCAGTCGCTGGAATTAAGTCCTCCAGCCCGCACGAGGACAGTCGAAGGCCATGGCGCCCCCAGGTCCACGAGCACGAGGCGACGTCGTACTTAGGCTTGAAGATTCTGATCGCGTTCGACACTGCCTCACGCGCAAGGATCACGAGCCCATCGACCACCTGCGCGTTTCCACAGGCAGAGTTCGACAGTCGCCCCTTCCTCGCCTCCCAGTTCACCAGCGTGTCGGTCACCTGCGACACGCAAACAGCCCCTTAGCCACCGGGGGAGGACGGGTGACCACATAGCACAAACAAACACCAAGCACGTACCACATGCTCCAGCCACGCCAGGTGGTAAAGCTTCACCGTCAGTGGCCCGACCACCTTCTTCGGCTTGAATGCCGCAACCGCGCATGCCACGAATGCGCCAGAGGCGAACGGCATCCCCTCCCGATCGTTCCCAAACTTGGACAATGCCAGGGGATCTGCGCACAAATGCACGCCCACGTAAGTCCGCGATCCACGCATCCCGCATACATCCCCTCTCCAACCACGTGACCACCGCCTTACCGTCAACGCCGAGCAGCAGCCCATAATGCGATCGTATCTCCTCCAGAGTACGGTCCTTCTTCGTGGCCCATGGGCTGCGCGTATCTCGCTCGTCGCGGAAAAGCCCCATCCGTGGACACGAGATGTCCCGCGTCCTTCCTGCTGCGCCCGACTTCCACTCGCTAAGGGCCTTGTTCAAATCCGACCGTCTTGCCTTGTCCGCAGCCAGAGCAAGTGTCGCGAAATCGAAAGGCAGGCGCTCGATCACTGCACACACTCCCACCGTCTTGTCGTCGCTGCTCGGATAGAACGTGATCCGGGCGTTCTCCTTCTCAAAGAAGAGGTAATCTTTCACCAGGTCGCACGCGCGCTGCAACCATATCAAAACCACCCAGCACACACATCCGCCGTCAAAACTCCGAGAAGCACGTAGTAAGGGGTGCAAAGGCAGTTAACACATGGTGGAGGCACCTATGTTCGTCACAACGCACCTTCCACGACTTGTTTGCGGGCAGAAAATTCAGCGCCCGCTGCAGGACCGGTGACTTGGACACCCTCAGATGCCCCCTCTTGGTGGGTGGCTCATCCTCGCTCTCCTCGTCGGATGTCTCCTCATCGGCGAGTTCTTCCCGACGCTTCCGCTTCCGACCAGAAGCACCACCGCTCCCCGAGACATGCTCGTCCGGCCTGCGAGGGGGTGCACGCGCCTGCACAGCCTTAGCAGACCTCAGCTCCTCTTCAAGACGGGCCACGGTGCGCGCGCTCGCTTCTTGCGCCTTCTTCAAGGCCTCGAACTCCGCGCGACTAATCAGAATGTGTGTCTCCTCCCCGGGCGCTGTCGGGTCACGAGACGACCCAGCTACAGGCATGGCCACAAAAGGGTTGTCCGGCACACGCACGGGCGGAGGACGGGGCCTGGTGGTGGCAGTCGCCTGTGACTCTGCCATCACAGAGGCCAAGTTCTTCGACCGGGAGGGCGCCGGGCGTGCCTCGCTCTCACTCTCGATGTCCTCATCGCCCGCACCGACGCTTATCTCCACCTCTGCCTGAGGTGCCTCCGCCACTGAAGTCTCTGGCGCAGCGGATGCTGTAGCTGCGAACAAACACAACGAACACAACACTTTAAGATGGTGCCAGATGAATGGTAATCAACGGCCATGCTCGCAGTCGTCGCTTGAACAACTATTACCATTCAGAGGAACCCCCTTCGCCTTCGTCACCCTGGCGCGCTTGGCTGGCACTGCAACCGATCGCTCCGCTTTCCTCCCGCGCTGTCGCTTCTGAGTCAGCTGGTATGCGTTGCGGAGGTACGACGGAGGCTTGGACACCCTCTGTGACCTGGAAGCAGGCTGGGGCTCGATCGACGCGTCCGAGGTCTCCATGTTTGAACTCCCGTGAACTCCTCCCGCCGAATGGTCCAACATGCTCTCAAACCCAAAGGTATACACCAGCGGTTGGTGTTCGCTTAGTGTAGCCCGGATTCTGCTTGTTTGCCCCAGTCAGCATAACCAGATTACGCACCAGTAAGATTGTGCCAACTCAACCTAGCCGAATCCGGGGTGGTACCAACGAGTGGTCATGTAGAATACACTGAGCCGATCACGTACACCAGTGCGGTGTCAATATTGTATCCGCTAACGGCAATCCGCATCGTTATTATAGTACCGCATACTAAAACATCAACACAACAAGAACAAATAAAGGTGACCGAGCATGGCGTCGGGAAATCCCATCAAGGAAACAGTATGGTACAATCGAAACCAACGCATGGTACATTCTAGTGCATGCAGCTAACCACACACTCCCAACCTCATCCATCACAAGCCCAGGCTAGCCGGGTCAAACTCTCCAAATTGGGTCCCTACCACGACTGTCCGGCGCGGTTGTTCAAAGACATGGATGTGAAAGAGACATCCTTACTCTTTCTGGCGACGCGGGCAACGACATCATCTGGTTCGGGGTCCACCGTATTCACTTTAACTTTCGTCTTGTACTTGGGCAGGTCGAGCTTCTTAGCGGCGCTTGCGGATTCTTGATTCGCAGATCCTTGCTGCGTGCGGGTACTACTTCGAGTGGCCCTTGTGACGGCGTTTGCGTGCGGTGCGCGCGCAGAGGCCGCCACCTCCGTGACGTCTCCATTGTCCGTGCCGCTACGTGGTTTTTTAACACCTACCTTGTCTCGCGCCATACCTTCGCGACCAGGCTGCGTCATTGGAGGGCGTTACATAAGCCTGGACACCATGGGATGGAGTGTGACAAGAACTAACACAGAGCAAGACAGGTGCCCAGACTTGGCTTTCTATGCGGAATGGAACGTCATATCGCCTGTGAATATCGAGCCCGAGCAGGATGGGCGAAGCTACAAGATCTGCATGCAGCTGCGCGGGAAATCGCCAGGACGTGACATGTGTCAACATCAGCCCGCGTTTTGCTGGCAAGAAAAATCTCGAGGCCGAGCTGTGCTGTTTTGGGCTCCAACGTGTAAACGTCATCTCTGGCGAAATCCGTTTGCTTTAAACAGGTGCACGAGTGTACTGGGACCACGTGTTCACCATGTTGTACCTAATGTTATCTCCCACGCTAAAGTTTCGATGCGTACCACATAGAGTGACGCACTTCAGTGTCGGTCCACACACACTGTCCAGTGTCACCCACATGTGTACACCATATTGTTGCGCAGAGTACTATAGGATGGGCAATTACAACACTAAGAACCTCTAGGCATATGTGGGGACACACGATGGTGCCAGGCAGCGCATGACGTAGCCAGCCTAGATCCGTCAAAAAGCTCTCCTGTATTGTCAAAAGTGGCACGCGGTACAAAGTCATACGTATTCTCCTTGATAGCAACATCATGTTCACGACACCAGGGTGAGGTTGAGCCAGTGACTGTGACTGGGGTGGATACCAACCCCAGTGTCCACTGCTTCATGCGTTAGTGCATTGAATTTTTAGGGCTCCGTGTTACGGATATGGCGGCCTGCCGCTGCAGGGGGTGTCCGCGTGTCCTTCGCGATGACTGTGCGCTTCAGTCGCACCTTGCAAAGAGCGCAGAGTGCAGACGCAACATCCTCGGCAAGCGTGACGCCCGATTAGCTCAGGCCTATCTGGAGGCCTACGCGGCTGTTTCCGCCCGTACCGCAGGTCGCCCCAACGAGACGTCTAGCCCGAACTCGCTAGCTAACGATGCAGTGGCGGCCGCTGACGAGGTGGCGGAAGCGACAGCAGGTGATGAAGGGACGGTAGACGACGAGCAGCAGTCCACCTGTAGTGATCAAAGCGAGGACGGCATTGTCTTTGACACGCTCACTGCTATATACCTGTTCATCCGCGATGCCGACCTTTCGCGGCGCGAAGTAAACCGCTTGCTGCACATCTTTCGCAACCCTCGCTTCAATCTCCGCGCTCTCCGCGGCTGGCGAAATGCTCTGGATGTGCGACGATGGGCTAACGCGAGAGCGCCCACGGACCTGGTTCCGTGGCTTGTGGAGGAGATCATTGTCCGCGGGACCAAAGGAGAGGTCCAGAAGTTGCTCTTGCATTATCGCGACACGGAGCAGGTACGGTTATGCCCGAGTTTCCAAATATATTACGTCTACATTCGATGCACAACATGACGCCGCAACTCGTAACGTCGAACGCAATGCCATGCAGTTGGTGAAGAAGTTGGTGCGAACTTTCGTCGCTGTACCAGGCTTCGTTACCAAGGCGAGGACGGAGCTGGACCCTACCACAGGCAAACGGAGGTTCAGCGACCCCGAGACTGGGAAGTGGATGCAGGAAGCAGAGGTAAGCTGTGTGGTCGGCTGACATTGTGGGGCTTGGCGTCCCATTATCGCTGAGTGATGCTGAGACCAATACCTGGCCGTCCTTGTTTGAGCGCAGAAAGCGATACAAGACGAGAAAGCATGGGTGTTGGGCGTCATTGTGTATAGCGATGGCACGAACGCAACAAGGAACGGCAGGCGGCAGGCTTGGCCAGTGCTCATAACACTGTTCAACATTCCTGAGCATCTGCGATGAACGGAGCCTGGTCACGTGTTGGCGGCCGTGCTGCCTTTTCCTCCCGTGTGGGCTACCTCTACAGAAAAGGCCCGGGTCTTCCAAGAGGCCATACGCATCATATTGGCACCGCTCATGCGGGAGTCGGCAAAGTGAGTCCATAATGTGTTCGTGGGTAGACCGTGCACAGACGTGGGCGACGGGTCAGTTTGTTTACTGCTGGTCAGTGATGCTCGTTGTGTGTCAGTGCACCGTGCAGTCCCAGATTCGATGCCCGTGCTTGCTGATGATCTTACAACTCTGCGTGCAACTGCCTGTCGAACCAGCTGTCCCATGCGTTTCTTCTACGTGCCGGACGCAAACGGACAACTTGTGAAGGCGGTCCCATGCTACTACGCTTACCCGGCGGACTTCATTGAAGCATGTCGTGCTACTGCCACCATGCAGACTGGGACCAAGAGACCCTGCACCACATGCTACGTGGAGGAGGATGATCTGGCAAACCTCAAGCTCAAATCTACCATCAGGACCCCTGCTTCCCAGGAGCATGCGGTGCAGCAGATTCTAGCTTGCAAGACCGTGAAGGCGGCTGAGAAAGTGCAGTCGGAATGGTCAACACACCCGATTGAGGTGATTTGCACGATATACCGCATAGCAACGCATGGGCGTGTGGGAGGCACGATTTGACGGCCGTGACAAACATTGTTACACGAGTGTCTTCACGTGCAGTGTGTGCTCAGCAGGTGGAACTTCTCGGACACCGAGTGGGGAAACCCATATGGGGCCAGCGTGGCTGACACTATACATGTGCTGGACTCCGGTGTTGCTCTGCACATGATCGAGTGCCACATCGACACTCTCAGCAAGCCCGAGCGGCGCACGGTAGAGGGGTGCGTGCATGCGAAAGGTGTGATATGATTTGGTGATGATAGATTGGCTGTGTGACATGTCCTCATCCCTCCTGTCTGCTGTGCTACCCTAACCCTCCGTGCAGGAGAAAGAAGACCACAAAGACAGAGACGCCGAGCACAGTGCTCCGGCTGCCGGGAGGATCCTCGTATCTGGCCAGTGGTGCCAACTACGCCGCGTTTGAGCACCGCGCCATGATGCAAGTCATGCCGATCCTGGTGGCGGACAAGGGGGCGCTTGGGAAGGGGCCGGACGCAGAGCTGAGGGCTATGAGAGTGCGTGCTTTCCGGTCATACGCAACGTTCTACAAGGCCTTTCTTGGCGTGGATGGTCACACGAGGGCGTCGCTCGCACACGCAAGGGAGCTCGCATACAGGTGAGAACCGCCTGCGTCCTATGCTGGTTTCTGTAATCCTGCACTACTAGAAGGACATACGGTCATCAAATGTATACCTCTATATCTCTTGTTGCGATGGGTTGGGCAGGCTGGTCGACCTTCTCCCACGAGCATACCCAGATCAGAAGTCGGGATGGCGGTTCCCTAAGGTGCACATGATCAAGCACCTGCTGGAGAATGTGATTCTCAGGGGCATGCCCCACCACTACAACACGGAGCTGTGGGAGCATACACACAAGGGCACGGTCAAGGTGCCGGTTCGGGGCGGCAACTGGAAAGACATCCCCCGGAGGATAGTCGAGGAGGAGGTGCAACGGGAGATCTGCCGGGAGGTGGCGGCTGATGCAGGCGGCGGGTGGCAGTACACCACTGCTCTCAGAGAGGTAGGGTTGCAAAGTGGTATGTGAGGTAGGGTCCCTTGGAGGCCACACACAATCGGGCCGCATCCCGCCTGGTGGTAATGAACGTTGCATTCACCGATGTGCAGGCTGTGCGGACCAAGAAGCCGGTCCTCACGAGGAAGGGGCGGCTCATGGTGCCTGGGGCGGAGGATGATGCCGTTTTGGCGATGTACCACGCGTCGCACGGTGACGACATGAAGGATCTAGTGGGATGCATGCGATCGGCAGGGGTGAAGGCGGAGCGCGTCCAGGTATGGTAGTTATTGCAGAGTCTGCTGGTGAGATTGCGACATTGAGACGGCTGGTAACTAATCACCCGCATCCCGAATCCCTGTTCCACAGGCACACACCGCCGTGGCGATTCCGCGCACGCGTGGGGGGGCGTTGGTGGCCAAGGGCACGTTCGTGAAAGCGAGCCCGGGGAAGAAGTGGTTTTCTGATGTGGCACTGTTGGCGCCTAAAGGGGGGGAGTGGTTTGCCAAGGTGTTGTGCATCTTCAAGGCGGCTGGGGATGAGGGGGAGCCGAAGGGCTACATGTACGTGCGGTACTATGAGCAGGCTGGGCTCTGTCCCCTGACCACATGCATCCAGCTAACACCCCACCGGATGGAGACGAGGTTCGCTGTGGTAGAGGTGGCCACGATCCTGAGGGTGGTGCACATTTGTCGGAGCTTCAGCAACCCCAAGGTGCTCCTGGTGAACAAGTTTCTGCTGATCGAGTGATGTGGTCGGGCCATTCAGTGACTGTTGGATGTCAAACATGTGTGTTACGTAATTACACAACCGTGACCAATATGCTGTGTGGCGTGGTGCTGGTTTGATTATCAGCGCCGGGAGGGTGATATGCCACCATAAACTCGTAACCCATGCTGAGAAGCTTCATTGTGACACTATATTTGTGGTTTATGACTGTTCGCAATTGTGTAGGTTGCAATGGGGCTCTGTTAGCCTTTGGCAAGATTTATGGTATGCTCTTTCTGAATGTTGTGTGCCTCGTGCACTGCGGTGTTTCGATCGCGTACGCAGGCATGCAGTGTTGTATTGAAGGGGCAGTAGTCGGGAGAGTACCTTTCTGTAGTCGCGTTTTTTTAAGGGTGTACTCCCTTTTTTTGAACTTCGCCGTGCGGTCGCTGTACAACGGTGTGCATGGGTGGGTATCGCGGTTGTGCATACCGGAGCGGATAGGCGAACCCCATTGGTGCGTGCGGGGGTCCACTGAGTTAATGCCACCTAGTGTCGGTGATGTGTACAGTATGTGGTTGCCGTTCAATGAAATCCGTGGTGGGCACCGTGTGAGGCTAGCGGTTCACGTGACATGTGGTGTGTTTTACGCAGCCAATGTTCCCCCGTACCTCTGGTAGTTCGGGATAAGGCGAGGGGGCGACGGTACGTACCTTCATCGGTTCAACCTCGGCTCTACCGTCTAAGTACTCGTCTCTTGTTTTTCGTCGTGGACCACAGCGGATATCAAGTCTGCGTTTCTCGTGCTAGACAGACGTCATACGACAGCATGGCCGCGATAGTGACTCTCCTGGAGGCTCTCAAAGCCCATCCTGATGATGTGTACTTGTTCTCCGAGTTCCCGTTCATACCTACGAGGCTCCCGGTGTCGGCGGTTATGGACGCGGAGTTCGGTATAGCGCGCGAGTGGCATATGATGGTGGGTTTGCTGGTCAACGCTTCTGGCTCCAAGTGGCGTCATCCGCTTGTGGTGTTGAGGCGGGATGATGGCAGGGCCGTACACAATGGGCAGCGCCGTGAGCATAATGTCGTGGTGCGCTACGCAAAGCACGGCCGCATGTCGTCTGAGGTGAGTCTCGGCGCGGTTTGCTTTCCTGTTTTCACAAATGCAATCTGTTACGAGGAAGGTGCTGATTGCGTAAATTGTGGGGATGTCGTCGTGTGTCAACAGCTATTCACGGAGCACATGGTGAAGTTTGACGGGGATCTCTTCGCAAAGAACGAGCGCGCAATTGTTCTGGTGTACGACCCGAAGCACGAGCTGACTGGTTGTGTGTTCGAGTCGGAAACCGTTGCCGGGTTTGCGGCGCAGAATCTCCTGAGTGTCAAGGTGGTGCAGCTTTATGGCGGGCCGCCCCGGTGCAGCATGCCGTCGACGACCGGGGTGGTTGACACGGTGAAGGCAATACACCGATACTGGTTCATGAAGGACACTATGGACAGCAACGAGTGGAAGAAGAAGGGAGAGGTACCTCGACCGTCACTCCCAGACGTGCTGAGGAGGCTGGAACTGGCGTGCAAGTTGACGTCGGAGACGGCTATTCAGAGGAGCTGGTGGCGCGCGGGTTGTGTGCCGACGGCGTGGGTGTCGCTGATGAAACGCCTGGATGGCGCTGGCGCTGCTTTGATGTTTGAGCCCATTGTTAGCGAGCTTACAATGCTGCAGATGGCTATTGAGAATTTTAAGAGGGCCCCTGGTATGTATATGACGTCGTGGGATTTTGTGGGCTGCGACGAGGACCTGCTCATCAAGTGGGGCGTGATTAAGGCGGGATGAGGAGGACGAGGAGGATGATGACGAGATACCGGCGTATTTTTGTATCCCTGAAGGGCCACTGTATCGGGACGTTCGCAGCCGGCGCAGGGTCGTGCGGATGGTGGCGGGCGAGTACAGCCAGCAGGCGGGCAATTTGGGCATACCAGTGTCCCAGGTGCCCGAGGCGTTGGGCGCGCATAACGAGGAGGTGATAAGCCGCCTTCGAAGGACGCCTACTAAGCGTGCTCGTAACGGACCTGCGGTGGGCGGCCAGCCTGGTGGGTTTTCCGCAGGCGCAGGAAGCTAGTGTGGTGTGCGACGATTGTTTGCCAGGCGGAAGCCTCTAGGCTGGTATTGCTGTTGGCGGTGTGTAGTTGGAGGTGGAGTAGGGTGGTTTCACGTTTTGTACGAGTAGGCGGCTTTCAGTGCTGCTGAGATGTAAGACGTGCGTGGTACTCGTATGTGTTGTTTGACGGATTGTGATTTTGTGTTCCAGATTACATGCGTTATAGTTGATGTTTTGGTGGATACCCTATTTGTTTAGTATGCGTTTAAGTGGTGTATTCACTTCGTAGGTGTGTTGGGCCGATGTTCTGCTGTTTGCCCGATTATGGTATGCAGTTGGGCATGCAATGTCGCGTATAGTGAACCCCATGTTGTCTGGGCCGCGAGTCCGCTGCATGACTGAAATGTGCGCTGCGGTGTTGGAGGATATTGGCGGGACATTCGTTGTCCCGCCAAAGAGTCACGACGCGGCAATGGCGAGTCCCTTGTGTGGGATTAGGGGTGCGGATTGGCCTGGGTGTTTTTTGGACACTTCTGTATACATTCCTGCAACATTTCGGAAGAGTACCCCGTTTTCGGATACTCGGGCCCAAAACCTTTTCCGCGATGTTATGGCGGCACTGTTGCCTACGCCGATGGGACCTACGCCGATGCCAGTGGGAAGCAGGTTCAACCTGTTCTTAACTCGGACGGCTCGGCGACTGTTGGAGACCTGACTGTATTTAAGAATGGAACCACGATCTCTACCTCCAAGAACTTGATAGTGCAGCCTACTGACATTATCTCTAAGACCAAAGCTGCTTCCGCCTCTCCGATTAAGCTCGGTAAGTAACGCTTACTCTATTTTATGACACCCACCTGTTTGTTTGTTTGTTTTTTTTTTTTTTTTTTTTTTTTTTTTTTTTTTTTTTTTTTTGGACGTCTCTATTTCCCTCTTGTGGCTGTAACGGAGTGGCTGAATGTTGCTTGTTGCTGTGCTTCTTTCTTTGGCAGGCTACATTGCCACTGCCGTCACCATGGATGCTGGCTTTGCTTGGCTGCTTGCATAGACGGCACATGTGCGTTTTCTGGAAGGACTACGTTGCACTCAGAAGTCACATCGCGCATTTTATGCAACACGGTTCTTGGGGGGGGGACAGACAAGTAGACATGTGGGTGCTAAGTAGACATGTGGGTGCTAAGTAGACATGTGGGTGCTAAGGGTACATTCCTGCCTTGACACAAATGTCTCAATTGTATTGTGACGCGTAAAAACAGCATATAACGTACACCGTCACAATCTCGGGTCGCCTTAATGCGAATGCAACCGTATTTTACATTGGTTAGCGTCAAACGCGCTGGTGTCGCGGACGAGTTGGACGAGGCCCCGTCACCTCCGTGAAATCGCCTGAGCGATCAAAGTCACGTCAATTTGAGTGCCCTGCCGCATGCACCTGGACACTGGACCACTTGACAGTTTAGCGCGGGAAACACACCCGCCATCCCTGGGCAGCATCGAAAGGGGTTTCCTTGCATGTGTTACACGCAAGGCTGCCCGCCGAAACCACCACAGATCTAGAGCCAACTCCCCAACCTGCTGAAGGGATGACTTCAATCCCTTCTTCATGGTTTTACCTGCCTGCCCGGCGCCAAACTGCGGGCGCTCGAATTAACTGGTTTGGAACCAATGGAATCTCGACAGGTGTACAACACTCTGACTCCCTAAATGTCGCAATACACCCAACTCTTTGTGACGCGTAAATGTGCAAATTTACAGGCGCGACTCGAAAAACCAGGCATTGAGACATTTGTGTCAAGGCAGGAATGTACCCTAAGTAGACATGTGGGTGCTAAGTAGACATGTGGGTGCTAAGTAGACATGTGGGTGCTAAGTAGACATGTGGATGCTAAGTAAACATGTGGGTGCTAAGTAGGCATGTGGGTGCTATTTACTGTGGGTTTATGAAGTTTTATCATATTCAGTAACAAAGAACAGGTACAACAGCAAAACCATGCAAATTTTACAATATTTACATGCGTTATTGTAAAAGGGGTTGGCCAGGCCAGTCATTCATTCTCGAAACAGAGCGCCTTATTTAACGCCTCTCTTGCAGCCTGTAGCAGCTGTGCTTCCGGTGACTCTGCCAGCGCTGCTGCTGCTGAAACAGCCGTGGCAATGGAGGCGATCGGCAGCAGCGCACTCGAAACTGCCATATTCCTTCCTTCAATAGAGTCACACGGAATCGACCCACCAGCGCTGCTGCTGCAGCTCCGGCCTTGGACAAAACCTGCTGCTTCTGGTGCTGGTGGTGGTTTCTCTGCTGCTGCCGATCCTCCTCCTGAACCACTATCATTCCCCTCGTTGCACAGCAAATCAGTCATGACATCATCACTGCTGCTTTTGGGCAACACCGATTGGGCCGCAGAGGGGTGCAGAGCGGTGCAATGCAGTATGCGGGAGGCGAGCTCTATGGTTGCATGGCGCCACCAGAGGGCTCTCTCCTCCGCCTGTTGCACCTGATGGGGACAGGCAGGGGACAGGTAGAGGGAAGGTTGGGACAGGTAGAGGGAAGGTTGGGACAGGTAAAGGTAGGGGGCAGGTACGGTGATTGCATGGCGCCACCAGAGGGCTCTCTCCTCCGCCTGTTGCACCTGACGGGGACAGCCGAAGGGGAGGCAGGGGGGCAGGCAGGGGCAAGGCAAGGGACAGGAAGGGGTGAGATGGGGAGAGACAAGGGAGTAAAGGGAGAAGAGAGCTCAATGGTTGCATGGCGCCACCACAGGGCTCTGTCCTCTGGATTGGGATGGCTGGATTGGGATTGTACCAAGTGCACGCATGCTCACCTCAACATGCACATGGAGTGCACGCATGCTCACCTCAACATGCACATGGAGTGCACGCATGCTCACCTCAACATGCACATGGAGTGCACGCATGCTCACCTCAACATGCACATGGAGTGCACGCATGCTCACCTCAACATGCACATGGAGTGCACGCATGCTCACCTCAACATGCACATGGAGTGCACGCATGCTCACCTCAACATGCACATGGAGTGCACGCATGCTCACCTCAACATGCACATGGAGTGCACGCATGCTCACCTCAACATGCACATGGAGTGCACGCATGCTCACCTCAACATGCACATGGAGTGCACGCATGCTCACCTCAACATGCACATGGAGTGCACGCATGCTCACCTCAACATGCACATGGAGTGCACGCATGCTCACCTCAACATGCACATGGAGTGCACGCATGCTCACCTCAACATGCACATGGAGTGCACGCATGCTCACCTCAACATGCACATGGAGTGCACGCATGCTCACCTCAACATGCACATGGAGTGCACGCATGCTCACCTCAACATGCACATGGAGTGCACGCATGCTCACCTCAACATGCACATGGAGTGCACGCATGCTCACCTCAACATGCACATGGAGTGCACGTTGAGGAATGCACACATATGCTGATCCGTTCGCACATACCTGCTGCTCATAGTCATTCTCCATCATCCTCAGCTCCTCCTCCTCATCACCTTCCTGCACATGTATACTCGAATGTGGCTGATTCATGCACACAATATAATCCCACATACCTGCTGCTCATAGTCATTCTCCATCATCCTCAGCTCCTCCTCCTCATCACCTTCCCCATCCTCCCCACCAGCCCCCTCTTCTCCCCGTTCCCCTCCACCATCTCCCTCCAATCCTTCCTCTGACCCCTCACTTGTCTCCTCAGCCTCTTTCCCCGCTGCTGCTGCTGCTGCTGCTGCCACTGCTGGTGACGTTGCTGCTGCTGCTGCTGCTGCTGCTGCAGCTGCTTCATCTCCCACTCTCCCACTCCTGCCTTTCCTTGCCAAATTCCCACCAACAGCGGTCAAAAAAACGTTTCCTGCAAGTGCAGGGGCAACTGCAGCAGCAGCAGAGCCGGCTGCGGTTGCAGGGACAGCAGAAACAGCAGCACTGGTGGTAGCAGAAACTGGAGCACCAAGCATGTCAGAAACGGAATTAGCAGGAGAGCCGTGAATCCACGTGCCAAGGGAGGTGGCAGCAGGGGCAGCCGCAGCAAGCGCACTGGTGTTAGCAGAAACAGCAGCACCACGCATGTCTGAAACTGAATTTCCAGGAGAGCCGTGGATCCACGTGCTAAGGGAGGTGGCGCCTGGGAAGTCAGAGAGGGAGGAGCTGAGTGGGAGCTGGTAGTGCTGGTGCCGTTTCTGCGGTGCCTGCTGCTGTGCCTGCTGCTGTGCCTGCTGCTGTGCCTGCTGCTGTGCCTGCTGCTGTGCCTGCTGCTGTGCCTGCTGATGTGGCTGATGGTATGGCTGCTGCTGTGCCTGCTGCTGTGCCTGCTGCTGTGCCTGCTGCTGTGCCTGCTGCTGTGCCTGCTGCTGTGCCTGCTGCTGTGCCTGCCGCTGTGGCTGCTGGTGTGCCTGCTGCATTAGCTGTTGGTGTTGAATATGCACCTTTGGCCGAGAGTGCGTGCGTATTGCCTGTGAGTGTCTGCTTTCTGGGTCTGCACTATCACTTGCCAGGGGTGTGGATGGTGTGGTGGGTGGGACGGAGTGAAGAGGCGTGGAGAGGAGTGGGGAGGGGAGTAGGGGGGTGAGAGGGAGAGGGGTGATGGTCGGGGAAGGGTTGGGCGGCTGCGGTTGAGAGATGGGGAGGAAGATTGAAGGGGCTAGGGAAAAGGCAGTGGCATGTTGGCTTGGGGGAACGATGGGGGGAGCACCAATAGGGGGAGGAGCAACGGGGGGAAGAGCAACGGGGGGAAGAGCAATGGGCGGAGGAGCAACGGGGGAAGCAGCAATGCGGGGAACAGTGGGGTTGGCTGCAGTGCTGCTCGCAGCAATTGTTGCTGGAGACACAAGAAGTATGGGAGCAAGAGTGGGGGTAAGGGAAGGAACCGGGGTGAGAGCTTGCGCAGGAGTAGGAGAAGGAGCAGTGGCAGGGGAGGAAGAGGACGGAGCAGCAGCAGAGGATGACGGAGCAGTGGCAAGGTTGAGGAGGGAGAGGAAGGAGGAGGGGCGGGTGAGGGAGGAGGGTGGACGGAGGGGCTGGGCTGAGGGGTCTGAGGCTGATATGATGGCATCGAACAGAGAAAAATCCTGCATTGAGGAGGGAGAGAAAAAGGCAGCGGGGGTTGAGGAAGGAGGGACGGAGGGGTTGGGATGAGGGGTCTGAGGCTGATACGATGGCATCAAAGAGAGAAAAGTCCTGCACGCATGTTATGTGCCATCCCATGCCGCACAATGCAAGATGCCAAACAAAGCCACACAATAAGATCCCACATAAGCCATGGTAGAGACTCATTCTAGGCGCCTAAAATGACTACCACAAGCAGAAGAAGCACTCAAGCTTTACACATCAACATTTAGTCAGCTTGATTTTTCAAGCTCATAAAAACACAGGACCGTTCGAGAGAGAAGGCTGTTTTGGAAAGGGATGGATGGTGGAGAGATGAGGAGGGATCATGGGGAGAGGAGGCATAGATGGTGGAGAGAGGAGGTGGGAGAGATGGTGGAGAGAGGAGGAGGGATGGATGGTGGAGAGAGGCTGGGCAGGGGACATAGAGGAGCGGGAGATGGTGGAGAGAGGAGGGGAGGGGACATACCACACAGCGCCGGCCATTTGCAGCTCGATAGACCATCTTCCTGTGAGGTTGGGGGGGATTGGGGATGGTGGAGAGAGAAGAAATAAGGGGGTTATTATTTAGTTGGAAGGAAGGGGGGATTGTGTTCAGGTGTTTTGGAGGAGGAGGAGGAGGTAAGGATATAGTGAACGGATAGGTGGGTACTCGAACAAAGTGGTGGTTGTGTAAGGCTTACAAGCGTATCACATCTGAGAATTCTCAAGTGCAGCAAGCAAACTAACGTCAGCGCCAGAGCAGGCAGAGAGAGGGAATGGACAGGTGGGTGGGTTGGCACTCACACAATGGGCTAGCTGTAATATATTCGAGTCACTTAGTAAGAATTCTCACAAGTGACTCAAATATAGCCGGTGGCAGGGCAGAGAGAGGGAATGGACAGGGCGGCATGCACTCACACAAAGCGGTAGTTGTGCTTTATGTCACATGGGCGGTAGGAGTGGCGCACTGAGAAGCAGGCAAAGCAGCAAACAAGTACGAAGGGGGAAGGGAAGAGTGAAAAGGGGGAGAAGGGTTGGGTGGGAGCAGTCGTTGACGTTGCACAGACAAGCGACATGTTGCAGGTTGAGAACACAAATGGCACCTTATAGAGCTTGTTGCAATCGCCTATCACTCATGTAGCTCTTTACAATCACCTTGCGGCGGTCCGCATGGTCTTCTTGCGACACTCACCTCACAACCATCATCTCGCTACAATCATCTCGCTAAAGTCACCTCGTTCCATTCACCTCGTTACTATCACCTCTTTACAATCATCTCACTACCATCATCACGCCACAATCTCACTACGTTCACCTCGCTACACCCGCCCCGCAGCTGTCACCTTGTAGCGTTACAGTCACCTCACTAAAGTCACCTTACAGAATAGCAGAGGTGGAGCACCAGAAGCACCAGGATTTTGGGGTCACCTCGCTACAGTCACCTCGCTACAGTCACCTCGCCCAGCTACCTTGCAGCTGTCACCTCGTAACGATACAATCACCTCATTACACAATAACCTCGTTACAGTCACCTTGTGTGCTGTGCCCTACATCCATCATTACAGTCACCTTGCAGGGTGGCAGAGGTGGAGCAGTCGACCGCCTCCAGCAGCACCAGAATCTCGAGGTCTGATCGCTCCATCATCTGAGTAGAGCGGGGGTGGGGGGGGGAGGAAGAGCACAACATAAAAGGGAAGCGAGCACAGCATGGGACCACAGAGGTGGAGCAGTCAACCGCTTCAAGCAGCACCAGAATCTCAAGGTCTGATCGCTCCATCATCTGGATAGGGGGGGAGTGAGGGAGAAAGGGAGGGAGGGGAGTGGGCACAAGGTGGGAGAAAGTGGGCAGCATGGGACCATGCAGGCACATCGTCCACCCCTCCAGAAGCACCAGGATCTCGAGGTCTGATCTCTCCATCATCGGAGTCGTATGGGGGGAGGAAGAGAAACAGCACAGCATGCGCATGGGGAGGTGGGTAAAGCAACATGGGAAGGCAGACGTGGAGCAGTCCACAGCCGCCAGCAGCACCAGGATCTCGAGGTCTGACCGCTCCATCATCGGAGTCGTATGGGGGGAGGAAGAGAAACAGCACAGCATGGGCATGGGGAGGTAGGTAAAGCAACATGGGAAGGCAGACGTGGAGCAGTCCACAGCCGCCAGCAGCACCAAGATCTCGAGGTCTGACCGCTCCATCATCGGAGTCATATGGGGGGAGGAAGAGAAACAGCACAGCATGGGCATGGGGAGGTGGGTAAAGCAACATGGGAAGGCAGACGTGGAGCAGTCCACAGCCGCCAGCAGCACCAGGATCTCGAGGTCTGATCGCTCCATCATCGGAGTCGTATGGGGGGAGGAAGAGAAACAGCACAGCATGGGCATGGGGAGGTAGGTAAAGCAACATGGGAAGGCAGACGTGGAGCAGTCCACAGCCGCCAGCAGCACCAGGATCTCGAGGTCTGACCGCTCCATCATCGGAGAAAGAGGGGGGAGTGGGGGAATTAAGGTGGGAAGAAAGATCACAGCAGATGGGATTGCAGGGTAATTTGAGAATTCTCAAAAATACCCTGCAGCAAGGTGGGAAGAAAGATCACAGCAGATGGGATTGGAAACGCATGGCATGCCCTATGAGCCTTATCAGCACGCCACTCCTGGTCACCACCTTGTGTTCTTACCGAGTGCGAGAGCCCATAAAGCGGGCTGGCATGAGTCACTGCGTGGGTGACGGTGCAGGGCAGACCCAGGTAGATCTGACTGCCGCCAGCCACAGGCAGGTGGGAGAACTGCACTTCCCACTCCATGAGTGATTTTACCGAGTGTGACCTTACCGAGTGTGATAGACCATAAAGGGGGCTCCCGTGTGTGACAGCGTGCGTGACGGTGCAGGGCAGACCCAGGTAGATCTGACTGCCGCCAGCCACAGGCAGATGGGAGAACTCCCATTTAGGGATGAGCAAGGGGCGAACACGAACGTGTTCGCGTTCGCCCGTGCACGAACACCCCTGTTCGGCGAACCGAACACTGTTCGGTTCGGCGAACACCTTAAGCAAAAACAGGTGTTCGCCGTTCGCCTATGAAGGCGTGTTCGGGCGAACCTCGAACATGTTCGTATTCGTTGCGGGGCAAATTGCAGCAGCGGCCCGAACACGAACGTGTTCGGGCGAACCTCGAACACTGTTCGGCGAACACTTTAAGCGAAAAAAAATTAACCTGTTCGGTTCGCCTCGAACGTGTTCGAGGCGAACCGAACAGGTGTTCGTTTTTTTGCTCATCCCTACTCCCATTAACTGAGAACAGCACTTCCCACTTACCAAGTGTTATCTTACCGAGTGTAATAGACCATGTAAGG